CTAAACAACCCCAGCTCCCTCAGCCGCTTCTCATAAGACATGTGCTCTAGACCCTTCACCAGCTTTGTTGCCCTTCTTTGGACGTGCTCCAGCACCTTGATGTCCTTCTTGTAGTGAGGGGCCCAACACTGAACACAGTACTCGAGGTGCAGCCTCACCAGTGCCGAGTACAGGGGGACGATCACCTCCCTGGTTCTGCTGGCCACACTAGTCCTGATGCAAGCCAGGATGCCATTGGCCCTCTTGGCCACCTGAGCACACTGCTGGCTCACGTTCAGGCAGCTGTCGACCAACACCCCCAGGTGCTTTTCCACCAGGCAGCTCTCCAGCCACTCCGCCCCAAGTCTGTAGCATTGCATGGGGTTGTCATGACCCAAGCGCAGGACCCATTGGCCTTGTTGAACCTCATACAGTTGGCCTCAGCCCATCAATCCAGCCTGTCCAGATCCCTCTGTAGGGCCTTCCTACCCTCCAGCAGATCAACACTCCTGCCCAACTTAGTGTCGTCTGCAAACTTACTGAGGGTGCACTCGATCCCCTCGTCCAGATCATTGATATATTAAACAGAATTGTCCCCAACACTGAGCCCTGGAGAACACCACTTGTGACTGGCCACCAACTGGATTTAACTCCATTGACCACAACTCTTTGGGCCTGGCCATCCAGCCCGTTTTTTTACCCAGTGAAGAGTACGCCCATCCAAGCCATGAGCAGCCAGTTTCTCCTGGAGTATGCTGTGGGAAATGGTGACAAAGGCTTTACTAAAATCCAGGTAGAGAATAGCCTTTCCTACTGCCCTTCCCTCATCCATGAAGCAGGTCACCTTGTCATAGAAGGAGATCAGGTTGGTCAAGCAGGACCTGCCTTTCAAACCCATGCTGACTCGGCCTGATCACCTGGTTGTCCTGTACATGCTGCGTGATGGCAATCAAGATGATCTGCTCCATAACCTTCCCCAGCACCAAGGTCAGACTGACAGGCCTGAAGCTCCCCAGATCCTCCTTCCAGCCCTTCTTGTAGAGGGGCATCACATTTGCTAACTTCCAGTCAACTGGGACCTCCCCGGTTAGCCAGGACTGCTGATAAAAGATGGAAAGTGGCTTGGTGAGCACTTCTGCCAGCTCCCTCAGTAGCCTTGGGTGGATTCTAAAGCCTAATTCTTTAAACGTGCACTTTCTCTTTGGTCACATATTAAATTCAATCTATAAAACCAAAATAAAGGCACGTAAAAATGAAACAGTTTTATTGAGCCTTTTTTCTTAATAGTTTTGGTTGCAGTTGCTTACAGAATAAAAACATACTTAATATTTCATTAAAACCTAAACTTCTTTCTGGTAAGAAAAAGTACATTTGCTAGCAAAAAAAAAACTGAGGTAGAACATGAGAATATTAAGTTAGAAATTAATTTGCATGAGCAAGTTCTCAGATTCAATTTATAGACAGTAAGTAAAAAATGCTTGAAAAAATATATTTTTCACTAAACAAAAATTCTGTAATTGTATCCTCTTTGGAGTAAAACAAGGAAGACAACTTCTGAAACAAGTTAACTTAGCTTTGATTAATACTGTTTCATTTATGGTACACACAGAGGCTAAAGAGGCTGTTCCACTTTGACCTCTCAGGATTTAAATGATTTTCCTCAACAGCAAATACCTTATTATTATTGAGTGACAAATAAAGTAGTAGCAGCTGGTGTATCACAGCAAATGGAAATCAAGCAAATCCTTCCCCTTCCCCCTTCCCCACCACCCACCAAATCCAAGTACTTACAAAGACAAATTCCCTTGTAGCAGTGTCGTGAAAGTGAAGATCAGACACCTCTGTTTCAGAAGCTGACAGCCACTGGAGTGCTGCTCGGAGCTGGGGGTCCACTAGATTTGGTTCCAGATCAATATTCACTATTGCTAAAGTCTTTCGTACTTGCTCCAAACCTAACATTAAAAATAAAATCATCAAATCTATAGCTTCAAATTGTTTAAAAAAAGCCTCTGTAGTTCACTGTTCAGACTATATTATCTTAAAAACCTCAATTTAGTACACAGAGAGTATGAAAGGAAAAAATCATGCTGGTCTGAAGTGCTTCTGTACTTTCACATAAGGAAGTACTGTTTATGCCATTTACAATTGTATGCAAACATAGCTGAGTATTAAAAGACATCTAAGCTTTAATGTATATTCCAAATCACAAGGAATTTAACACACCCTTTCATAAACTGAACAGCACTAGTTCTCACATTGTCCATCAGTAATTTCCCTTTCCAATTGCTATTTTTTGCTATGCCTTCATCTACTAAATTTTTTAAAAGTGTGTATTTCAGAATTCTTTCCTGTACAGGCAGACTGATCAGACTGCCTCTGAGTTTTTCCAAAATACAGTGCTGTTTTTATTGGGGCCTATCCAATTTTTCAACACTTCCTTTACAGCATGAGCTCCAAAAATTAACACAGTATTGAAAGAGCAGTTGCATTAGTACCATAGAGAAACTACAGTATCGTCATCTTCTGTTCCCACTCTGAATTTCTATATCCAGTTATCACAGTAATTCTTTGTCACACTCTCAGAACCAACTAAGCATACGTCTAGTGCTCTCCAAGTTATTCTTTAAGTTTCTACTTCCAGGCCACTACACTTAATTCTCTGGAAACAAGGAATATATTTGCAATAAAAACGTATGTTCCTGTGCAGTTTACCTCAATCTCACTACTCTTCCAATCAAGTTTATGAAAACTGAGGTATGTAAGGTATCAATTCCTAACTGGCAAAGTTAAGCAAGATGAAATAGATTCTCCCAGGAGGTAAAAGAGAGAGAAAATTAATTAGTGGAACTGTAAACATAAGCGTGCTTTTGGTGGATAACAACATTTGTCTAGGAGCCCCAAAATTTAACATCTTTATAGGAGAAAGAACCAATTATAAAAAAATTTATGACCCTTAGTGGATGGAAAGCACTGTGGTAAGGTATCACAAGGAAATTTTGATGTATTTTTTAGTTTTATAAAACAGATGTACGTTTTTTAATAACAAGGCTTTCTTTCAAATTCTTTGGTGAACAAGGTGCAGTCACGGCTTAGAAAGATAGACGTTTCTAGGTATGACATGAACAGAATTTCCAAATGTACAAGACCAGGTACAAAGGTTTTCTACCTGGAATACTATTTAAATGGTCCTACAATGAAAGTAACAGAAAGAGTCTTTTCAAAACAATAGTGAGATAGTGAAGGAATTAAACTGGAAATATTTCACTAGACGATCCTTAATAAAAAAGCAGTCTGTTGCACTCCAGGAGACACCTAAACTGTGTACTGTGACACCTGTGTACTGAGACACCTAAACTGTGTACATCAAGCACTATTTTAATCGAGCAATTTGAACATTTGAGGTGCTAGAAATTTTTGAAGTTGAGACCAAAAGAAAGCAATGGTACGTTGATAACCTAGATAAAACCTACAGAGCAGATAATATTTTAATTATAATTATTTTCTGAGGAAAAATACTAAATAATTTAGTTTAGTTTTATTTCCTTGTAAATTTACAGTCAGATCTGATTTAAAAAAAATTTAGAGATCTGGTTCATTTCCATACGTTTTTCCAGGAGTTTAAAAAAAAAAAAAAAAAAAAAAGAAGAAATAACCACACATCTTTCTGCTTACATCAAGACTATTTGAAGATGTGCAACATGGCTGAATATCCTCTGTAAGTGGGTAGCAGATGTTTCTTGAAATGCTTATTTCGTCTTCAGAATATACCCGACACAAAGAAAAGCTCTGTTACAACTTACTCTAACATCCTCTCATTTTAAATCAGCCTCATACGCTGTGTATTCAGGCTGTTCTCATTTGAGTTAACAACCTTTGGCACTTCAATCAGACTGGAACCAGTGCAGAGATCTTCTACGAACCAGAGAGCTGTAACAAGATTCTGGATAGACCCTATTTTATATTTCACTAAGAAAGAAATTATAGCAAATTTATTGAATCCAAGTTTTTTCATTGTTTCTCATGACTCCTCTTCCAAGGTTAATATGGCCAGTTTGAAGAACTTCTTCAGTTCTCGAACATAGCTATGCAGATGCATTGCCATGGCTCCCTATCACATATTTTACAAAGAAGTTATTCTATGCATATAAATTTATGCTTTCAACAAGCTGATTAGAGTTCACTACTTACATTATTAAGTACCTGTGAGAGCATCAGAGACTAGCGTTTCCCAAAGGCTTTAAATTTCAGTGCATTAAGAGGTGTATGTAGGGTATTAATCTAAGAATATATTCTGACACTTGACTGACATGCATTATGATGAATAGGGATAATAGGGTTGTCACCTTGTTTTGCAGACTACAGAAGCAACGAATTAAGAAAAATAATTCATGTAGAGCGCACAGGTCAAGAACAGTGGTATATGCTGGAACTGCTATTACCTTCTACAGCATCCTTGGAGTCCTCATCTTTATCTTCTGTTCCATCACTGTATTTTAAAAATAAAACAAAAATATTAATACAATATATGCACAATAAATGTAGTCAATCCTAAGACTGTAATGAAGGTTAAAGGACAGGAAGATCATAAAAGAATTAAGAAGTGATCATGAAAAGAAGCTTTGCTTCTCACACCATTTCATGTTGGAAACAGATTTATCATGAACTTCACAAGA